CTGGACATTTTTTTAAATCGATGTTTTGAGACACGGAATTACTCTTTCAAACGTATTCTGGAGAACACTGATTTAAATCTATTGCATGGCTGACAAACGAGTCCACCTCTTTTGAAAGTTTAGCAAGCCCCTTTAGGAGGACTCTTGGCTGAATAAAGGAAGTCCCAACCCAACTGCAAGAAGGTCTTTGCCATTCCTCTTCTAAGGATATGCTGACCTTGGGCCATGCATATTCTCCTCTTCTAATTAAGACATGTTGCATGGTCTGTGGCTACCAAAGACAAAAACAGTAGACCTCACTAATTTGCCCACGGGTTTCACAAATGGCACTGGTTACCTAGATAAATATTAGTCATACATCAAATAAATGCTTCATGTACATTTATTTTTCTTATGGACTCCTTTTCTTTTAAGATTATGTACAAATCCACTCTTTCTTTCTACTTCAAATAATAGACAAAAGCTATGTTTATTCTTCCTATTCTATAATCGAAGTCACTCATACATCAAGATCATTCAAGAACGCCTAGCAGTATGCAAGTGAGAGTGGCATGATTGTGAAGATAATCTTGGATCTACTCTAATTTAATTTTTTTAAGTAAATCATTTGCAAACTCCAGCACTCTAACTAGTACAAGTAACAAATTACCCATGAGGAGCCTCAGAGGCTACAGATGACAGAGCTGTGTTGCAACACCTTGGCAGAATCTTTGTACTGCAGCCTTGGTTCTCAAACTGCAGAGTGCATCAGAATCACCTGGGGGCTGTGTTAAAACACTGATCTCTGGGCCCCACCCCTAGTGAGTTTCAGTTTCAGTGGGTTTTAGGAGGGGCCCAAGAAAGTGCATTTGCAACAAGCTCCCAGGTGATAGGAACGCAGCTGCTCTGGCTGGGGGACAGCACTTTGGGAATTACAACTGTACAGCAGTTCCCTAACACCCCCAATCAGGATTACCTGGAATCTTTGTTAAAAACACTAAGTCCCACCCTTAGCCCCAGACTCCTGAGATGGAATCTCCAGGAAGGAAAGTCGGGAATCTGTATTTTTAATAAACTCCCCAGGGGATTCAAATCACGCAGCTCTGGGCTACTTCAACCTGAGAAGAGGGGCTTGCCTTTTAGATCTGGGCCTGAGGTCTTGAACCTTTGCCTGCCTCTGGACACATGGACTCTCCCTGCTAGAGGCCCCTTCAAAGTGCAAGCAGGCTGAAGACACGTGAATGCCTCCTCCAATAACTTGTCCAGTAATTGGTATATTGATTGCTAATGTCATCATGTTTTAGTATATGTAAACCCCTCACTCTATTACACAGCCCCCAACAATCCAAAAAGTCATTGTTTGTTCATTGTGACTCCCAAACTGGCCTTTGTCAGCTCCTGCTGGAGGGCTTGCTGATAAAAATCAGCAGATGATTGGACGCACACATTCTTAACATGACTGACCCATGACATCTCAGAGGGCAGCTCGAGAGCCTGTCATTACAGTACAATACTTTTCTTTCTTCCTTCTTATCTAGCCCAGATGACTTCGAGATTTTTATTAACTCATTAATGACTGAAGATGTCATTAGAATCAGTGGGAAGGGTTTTTTTTATTATTATTATTTTCTTTCTCTCTCTCTCTCTTTTTTTTTTCTCTTTTTAAGTGGGAATAAGTGTGCAATTTGCTGGGAACAGGGGAGGGGCTCATTGATGAAACAGCTAAGACAAACCAAAGTGGAGAGACTCTTGGACTTTATTAGAATCTGAAATCTGATTGACAGGTCCTGGACCTGAAAATCTGCAGACAGAAATACCAAGTTCCTTCAGAAACATGTTGGGAAGAATGGGACAATTTGATCAACGAAATAGCGACACATAAAATTCAGTAATTTGTATTGTATTGTGGGCCCAGTCTTTCCAACATAACAGATAAACAAACAAACAAAAAAGCCAGAGTAAAACTACTGAAACCTCTAAATGTTTCTTAACCTACACATTCATTAAACTATATCTTGTTTCTGCGTGCCTTTAATTTTCACATCTGCAAAATTGCTTTTAGAAATCAAATTAGATCTTTTGAAGGCACTTAAATTGTAACAACCTTATGTTTTTTTATATACTCTTGGGTTTCAGCCTTTTCATCTGGGTTGTGTGTCCAATTAATGGGATATCTCAAGGAAGCACTAATCATTTTGAAAACTTAAGAATATGAAAAGCAAGCAGACTATTTTCATTATAACTGATTGGATTGAGAATAAGCTACAGAGGAAATGTTCAATAATTATGATAACTTTTTTAGAGGAGATCACAAAAAAACATCAGTCACAGAAGGTGCTTTTCATTGCGACAAAGGCTTTGAAATCCAGTTTCAGTAGATTCCTCTTTGGGCTTCAGCCTCGGGCATGTCAGAAGGCTGCTCTGAGAGTGGGTTTTACACTGATTTTTATCAGCCCTAGATAACTCACTTGGCAAAGAAAACATCTATTACTAGATGTATCTCATATGTTACTGAATGTTTACTAAATTTTACTACAGTCAAAACACATTGTAAATGAACAGATCCTCATAAGAACCAGGGAAATCTATTCCTCAGAAGAAAAAATGGTTGTCTGAGGACCTAAAAAGATTTTTGCCCAAGGAAATTACTGCTAGTAAACTATGACCAAGATTTAAATATGCTTTAAGCCAAGTTTTACGCTTAAATCACCTAATGACATCTTTCTGTCTTTATTTGCCTGGTGGAGAATTATATTCATTACATGTTATGGTAAACAGAATAATTAGTTAATATTTACAGGTTAATTAAATACAATCATTTTATCTAATTCAGTAATAATAGTGCTGAATTTTGTCTTTCTCATTTCTGAACATGATGCCAAACACCCAGATGAAACCTAGGAGGAGAAAAGAGTCAACAATCCAGATGTTATTAAAGATCCAGATGTATGGTATCAAGTAAACAGAACATCAAGGATTTTTACTTTTTTTTTTTTCCATTTTCATCCAGATGTTTGGTGTCATATAGACACAGTCTTAATCTGTTCAGTCACAATCACAGTGTTCTTTAATATCATTTGCCAGTATTTCACTCCCTTCTTCACAGAATGATCTCTAAAAATCCTCTGTCATTCATTCACGAGGAAAACAGGGATATTTTCTTCAGAAACAAAAATATAATGCCCAGTGGACTCGTAAGACAAGACCACCATCCAGGATGATGCCCAAGTCTTTATGTTGGAAAACATTTCATATCTGCATTTTTAAATGATGAAAGTTAATTCAACTTAAATGGTTTGAATGGTAACTTAATTTTAATTGACTTGCACGTGCAAATTTCAGTCCTAGTAAGTAGCTTTGGAAAATAACAGGCTCTCAAGTGTAAATGATGGTCATCTTTTCAATGGGCTCTTTTCCCAATTCATTCACTTATCATTAAATCCTAAAAGAGATTAGCTGCCATTTTAGCAATAATTTCTGCTCTGCAACTTTGGGTACATTAAAGCACTGACCCGGGGACTTAAGAACTTGATGCTGAGCCCCAGCATCTCATTTTTCTGTGTGACCTTGAGCCAGTCACTTAACCTCTGAGCCCCAATTTTCTCTTCCTTAAAAAAAAAAAATTAAATAACAGACCCGATTCTAGTGAACCCAAGGATCTAAAAACAAGAACTGGAGGAGGGCAAAATCCTTTATGAATATAAAATTATCAGTAATTCACAGAATATTTTATCATGAGTTTTACATATCATCGTTACATAAGTAGTATTACTATGTAAAAGTGTCATTACTATTAAAATGAAATCCAAGAGGGCACAGTAGAGATAGTCATGCTAAAAAGACCTTGTCAGCTATTTACTGTTCACAAATTAAATACAGGAATGACTGTAATCCCTGGATGTGCAAAGCAATACCAGATTCTACTTCCTTGTGCTGCCATGTTTCACCAAGCTAAATCTGAGAAATAGTTTTAGTGTTACCCTTTTCATGGTACTAAACGGACTAATCGTAAGGCACACTGTATCTCTGATTACAATAGGACATTTCTGCCAATCTAGGACCCTATGCTTGGCTGACTGGTAGACTTAACTTTGACAGACACACGCACCCTCCTCCCTCCTGGCCAATGGCAAAGACTTAAGCCTTCACATAGAGCAAATTGTTGCTGCTGAATATTCAAACAGATCTCATGGTTTTCATCATGGGAGATTGCTTCCACTTTCTTTTTTTTTCTGTTAGTAAAATGTATATCCTAGGAAGTTATTATCAAAGAACAAGCTTTTCACCAACATTCCTCAGTACAATATAAGAGGGTTTCTAAGTGAGAAATCAATTCATGCACTTGTAAAATGCTAAGCACTAAAAATCACTGAAACATTTTAGTCTTACACTTTTCTGTAATGGCTCCGAGATTTTGGGAAGAGATATGGAAACTTTTGAGTTGTGCATTTAAGATATTAAAAGATTCTGGAAGTACAAAAAAGGGAATAAAATAAACGAAAGGAAGATAACTTCATTAATTTTAAATTTTAAAAAAATCTGCAGTGTCAAGATGCTACAGTCAAAAAAAAAACAAAAAACAAAAAAAAACCTCACACATCAAGAAATTTCTTTCAAAGTTTAGCCCAACTCTGTGCTCAATTATATGACTACAGAGAAGACGGGATGAATAATCAAGTTTTAGTTCTTCAACTTTGAAGGCACAAATCACTCATTAGCATGTTGCTCTGTTTGATGCAACTTACTTGGAAGAGCCAGAAATCAATACAAAAGGAAACAATAATAATAAAAGGAAAGATTTCTACTGTCATAATAGGGAAAGGTGTGTGAGCTGGAAGAAAGTACAGTACAGAAGCCCATGACAAGTCATGATAAATGGGTCGTTATAAAATTCATGTTTAGGCAGCACCAGGCCGCGGATAATGCCATTCGTCATGGCAACACGAGGCCGCTAATGAGCCCTCATTGCATATTCATGTTTGTGGCATTTCTTCCCTCCCTCCCACCCTGAACTAGTGCCTGGAAATATCTCCACCTCAAGCTGAAGCTCAGCTTAGGCCTTCTTCTTCTCCTCCTCTCTCTCTCTCTCTCTCTTTTTTTTTTTTTTATTTGTTATGTTGCAGCAATTACACTGTAAAAGTGCTGCCCAAGATTGATTGCTCTGATCTGTAGTTCAATTGTAAATTAGAATACACATCCCCCCAGGGACACACGGCCCCTATTTGTGATTAAGAAAAAAGCCCCATAATAGACTAATAGCTAAAGTTCTCTCTCTTTTACTTTCAGGCAATTAGCTTGATGAAATGGCCTTTTTTTGTGTACCCTGGAAGTGTAAACCGATATCATAATGAAGTATATGATGTTTATTCTATTATTTTCACCTTGCTGGGTATGCAGGAATGCATAAGTAATGGCTGCTTTGTCTAGTACGTTTACTGATTCACAAGTAAACTATTTCTTAAAGATGCAGTGTATGCTTTCTGAGGCTTGAGTTAAGTAACTCCTAACTGTGGATTAACCTTCACGTGAATGTCTACTGCAGGGGAGGAAAACGAATCCCCCAGGTTGGGGGACAGCATGATACTGATATTCAAGAGGTCTCCAGCCACTGGGGCAGCTCTGAGATGGATGTGGTGACAAAGTGCAAGTGCCAGCACTCAGGATCAGTGCAGACACCAGGGTACTTTGGAAAAATGTTCTATAGTGATTTTAGGCCCAGAGAGACTCCCCCTGACTACAGTGTACCCTTCATCTCCCCCAGTTACTTGTGGAACACCAACTCACTGTCTGCCGTAGGGTAGCTGAAGCTCTTCCTACACAATGGTCATACAGTCTTTTTTTTTTTTTTAATTGGATTGCACCCTTGCGCCCACCCCCCGCTAAAAAATAAGTCTTGTATTTTCAAGATCCAAAACGTTGGCAAGAAAATATTCTTCAGCTTCCTACATGCACCAGCTGACACAGAGCCAATCCACTTGCAGTTTGTGCATTACCAAAGCCATTTGTGTTGTTCCTATGCAATATTTTAATATTTGTTTTGTTTTCATTCATGGGGATCTCAAAATTAGAGGAAAAAAGAGGGTGTCCTACACGACAATATAGAAAAAAGAAAAAAATAGAAAAGAAGAAATAGAAGAAAAAACAGAAAAACAAAAATCTATCTTGCTCTAAAGCATTTTATGGTGGGTAACTTACCAAGATGTTAATTACTGTTTCAATTCTATATTCCAATTACCCGCTGTTCATCCATAACCCAGTTTGTTTCACCCCTCAAACCCTTCCTGGGTTTGTGTTGTCTAAAAAATCCATCCTTCTCTTCTTTAATGTGAATCCAATTTGAGTTTCTAGAAAATATAAGGAAATCATTTTTATGGCAAAGGATCTCAATAACTTTTAATGCTGAGTTTGATATGCACCTTTAGATGTCTTATGTTTTGAAACTAATGTGTGAGATAGTTGTTTGTCACATATAAAACGTGCTTGCCTTTCCTCCAGTTACTTAGCTCCTTCTTAATTAAACAAAACATTTTGGGGAAAGTTTGTTACTGTATTCTGGAAAGTAATTCTATTGTTACATAATTTCCAAAAATACTACAAAGTGAGTTACCAAGAAATATTTCATGAAAATTCACTTTATGTCTTCTTTTCTAAAAATGAAAAGTTTTTATCAATCTTTATTTGAGGGGGCTGACTTTCTTCTTAATTTGTACAACATTGAACTGCCTTCGGAACTATAAACCTGCAACACAATAAGTATAAATTTTCACTGCTCTCAGAAACTTTTGAATGTCTATCCATATTGCCATATTTGAAATATGCTATTTTCAATTTTCAAATGATATTGAGCATGGGTAGGGCCTCTCCATTCACTTACATAACCTGTCACATTTTTAAGTATACTTTTTCTAGAATAACAATGCCTCCTATTTACACGGTGCTTTATAATGTTTAAAGATTTTTCAAATAGATTGCCTTATATAAATAATTCTATGAGATAAATGAGCCAAATAACCTTATTATTACCACAAAGTTAGAGGGGAAATATTATGACTCAGGGAGGTTATGCAACTTGCCCAGAGTCACAGGTTAGTCAGTGCCAAGTTGAGCCTTGTCCCCAGGTCTTTAACTCCAAAACGTGAGCTCTTTCTGGTATGCAATGCTGGCTCTTCACTACGTATACATTCCAGAAGCAGCAGCTCGCCAAAATCTCACAGCTCTTAACATAAACAAGATCTGTGATCTTTATTTATACATGAGCAAGATTAACAAATGAGTTTAAAGACACATATGTGCACACACACACACACATGCCCTTCTTGATAAAAACCTAGGAGAAAAGTTAATGAAATTCACACTGTGGCAGGGTGCAGTGGCTCACGTCTGTAATCCCAGCACTTTGGGAGGCCGAGGCAGAAAGATCACAAGGTCCGGAGTTTGAGACCAGACTGACCAAGGTGGTAAAACTCTGTCTCTACTAAAAAATACAAAAATTAGCTGGACATGGCGGCACATGCCTATAATCCCAGCTACTCAGGAGGCTGAGGCAGGAGAATCGCTTGAAACTGGGAGGCGGAGGTTACAGGGAGCCAAGATCACGCCATTGCGCTCCAGTCTGGGTGACAGAGTGAGACTCTGTCTCAAAAGAAAAAAAAAAAAACAACAGAAATTCAGACTGCATTGTTACCTACCAACCAAAATTTAAGATAATCTATGTTAGGTAATAAACATATGCTTAGACTAGGTACATACCAGGCAAAAAATTGAAGCAATTATCTACATAATTCAAATTTGAGAGACAAGGGATTACCACTCTTCTCACAGTCCATTAATTGGTTTTGCATGTCCAGAGATTTGGTTGAGCCTTTTCGCCAAACATCTCTTTAGGCCTTTGCACTGCTATTCCCTCAGCCCACCCTTATACCATGTCACATATGTCTATCTGAGTAACTCAATCCTGACCACCAATTTGGATTCAACTCAAAGATCACTTCTCCCTGGAGACATTCCCTGACTTCTATTCATCCCCTTATCCCTGTTCCAAATACCTCTTTGGTTTGCTCTCCACTAAGGAGGCTCCTTCATCCCAGTTTTGAAGCCAGTGAACACAGGATTCTTGAAGCCAGTGAAGACAGGATTTGGATCTAGAATTCAGCAGATATAAACATTTTTAAAGGGTGTGCTGGACCTGTCTGCCAAGGTACCTCCCATGCTCAAGACCCTCTGTGTGCCAAAGAGCCATGTTCAAAGCTCCGGGATTAGCAAAGCAGTTCTAGACTGTTCTTTGCAAAGTAATGGCCACCATTTCAGTCAGCAGTGGGCACCTAAACCATGGTTTGCCCATTGTTGGAGTAGCCTTGAGATGACAACTTCACCAAATAAAACACCTAGAGCAGAAACCGCTGAAGTAGACAAAATCATGTCAGCACGAATTTTTTTTTTTTTTTTTGAGACGGAGTTTCACTCTTGTCCCCCAAGCTGGAGTGCAATGGTGCAATCTTGGCTCACTGCAACCTCTACTTCCTGGGTTCAAGCAATTCTCCTGCCTCGCCTGCCTCAGCCTCGCAAGTAGCTGGGATTATAGGCATGCGCCACCACACCCAGCTAATTTCTAATTTTGTATTTTTAGTAGAGACAGGTTTTCTCCATGTTGGTCAGGATGGTCTCACAATCCCGACCTCAGGTGATCTGCCCGCCTTGGCCTCCCAAATTGCTGGGATTACAGGCGTGAGCCACCAGGCCCAGCTCGGCTATGATTTTTATGAGAAATGACTGCTGCCTGAACCTGAGAAAGAAATGACTCCAGAAATGATCCCAAAACACTGTATAGATACTTCCAAATCTCAGGTGTAGCATTACCTAAACATAGGAGAAATAACGGTATATGTCACTATTTCTTTCATTTATTCATGTTTTCATTCATTCAATAATTCATTCAACAACTGCTTATTGAGCCTTCAGGAGATAATCATAAAAATGACATCATTCCGGCCCTCATGGAACTTACGGTTTAATGGGAGAGATAAATATTATATAATCACTCCAATGAATAGAAAATTGCATACGATACTAAATACACAAAGTAAAAGTAAGAATAAAGTGGAGCTTACAGTGAAGGCTTCATATAAACAAGTGCTTCAGTATAGAAGGTGTTGCAGTAGAAGCCTGAAGAATGAGGTTATAGATAAGAGTATCAGGAAAAATGAAAACATTTCCAAAAACATGTGGAAAGGTCCAGGAGTAGGAAACAGCTTGGAAGTTAAAGAAATAATAAACAGGCCAGCATGCTTGGACCACTAGGACCTGGAGATAAAGCAGAATGTGATGAGACATAGGTGAGCAGAGCCACATCACATAGGGCCTTGCAGACCACATGCTTAGGTAGGAATTTTGGATGCCACCTTAAGTCTAGTGTAAAGCAACTGAGGGGTTCTAAGCAGGAAAGGCCAATGATCAGACTCACAGCAGCTTAGAGGGTGATAGTGTTGTCCCATTTTGAATAAGAAACCTCAAATTGTTAGGAAAGAAAAACACAACTGTTATATTTTTCCAACACCAACTAACCAACCATGCTCTAGGAAAACACTTCACTTTCACTGGGGGAAAGCAAACGCTTCTTCACCCCATGTCCTGTGTGAGCCCAGCACCAGGCCTGCCACCACTGAATGGAGAAGACCTGACACCAGGTATGACATCAAAGAGTTTGTTTGTTTGTTTTTGTTTTTGTTTTTATTTATTTATTTATTTTGAGACAGAGGCTCACTCTGTCACCCAGGCTGGAGTGCAGTGGTCACTGCAGCCTTTATCCCCAGGGTTCAACTGATCCTCCCACCTCAGCTTCCTGAGTAGCTGGGACCACTGGTGCATGCCACCATGCCCAGCTAATTTTTGTATTTTTTGTAGAGAGGCGGTTTCGCCAGGTCATCCAGGCTGGTCTCAAACTCCTGAGCTCAAGCTATCCTCCCACCTCGGCCTCCCAAAGCGCCAAGATTACAGGCATGAGCCACCACGTCTGGCTTTCAAAGAGCTCTTGATTCAGTTCTGAGAAACATTGACTGCTCTTGTGATAGCAAGCCATCTACTAAAATGTGATAACACAACTAGAAGATGCTTTATGGGGTCTGCATGAAATATAGTCAGAGATTGGTTCAAAGATCCCATAAAGCACTCATGCTCAGCGTCTTGAGATGCTGGCCTTGACCTCATGACACACTCCTGAGTCACTTTCCTATACCCACTGATCTGGTTAGGACCCACCCACGCCGAACCACAGCTCCCTGTTACAGCATGTTGCTGTCATCGCTCGTTAATGGTCTTATCTCCTGCACTCAGCAGTGTGCTCCACAGAACAGGAAGAACATGCATCTTATTCACCCCTTTATCCCTAATGCCTGGTGCAGTGCAGGGCACTTTTAGGTGCTTAGTCATGTTGGTGTGCTTCATTTGTGTTATGGTATGCAGCTACATGTTGTAATTGTTGATTTGTTTTTCTATCTCCTCCTGTGAGTTCTTCGCGAGTAGTATCCATGCCTCCATCTTTGCATCTCCAGTTTATCAAAGAGGCTGGCTCATAGTTGGCACTTGATTAGGATTGATTAATTGATTAGTTAATTAACATATGGATAAAGCAATTAGGTATAAAGGACCTTCCTAAATGCAACCAGCTCTACTTTGCTTTTAGTCAATCACAAGATGCATAAAACCACATTGTCTGAGAATCTTGCATATCATCAATATTTATTGGTGAGAGGTGCTTTCTTAACGCTGGTGTTTTACGCATTTCTACACGTTATTATACACCCCAGAAAAGAGTGCATGTAAAACTGCTGGAGCCTGAATAAATCCTCTAACTGAGTTAACACTATTGAATCAATTTCCTAATGTTTAGAATGTGCTGTGGTTATGTGATACGCTGTCTTTGGGGAAAGCTGGGTGAAGGGTACAGGGGATCTCTCTGAATTATTTTTACAACTTCAGTGAGTCCTGTATTATTTCAAAATAAAATGTGATAATTTTTAAACACTTTCTGATTTTTATATTTATACTTTTACATAAACTTTATATATTTCTATAATATCTAAAATGTAGTTAAAATGTCATAAGTAATAATTAAATGATGTTATCATATATTACACTAGCATACAGGAAAGAAAATGCCCTAATTTGGGGCACTATTCTTTTTGTCTGGCTAGGTTGGCATTTAAAATATGCTAGGAGAGGAAGGAGATGCATTACTTTTGCCTGATTCAAGCATATTTTCGAAATGATGTTTTCATAAACAAAGTGCCAACAGCTATGATCTTATCTTCTCTCTTCTTTTTATCCTAATTCAGGTCAATAACAAGTATTTCTGCTCTCTTCTGCAGATTCTAGGTTTTGGAAGAGAGGATGCAATTATGAGCAACGGGGAACTGTTAGTGAAAAATTCACCAAGAAGTCAGAGAGTGCCTTTAAACTTCTTTCTACCCAGTGTTGTCCTATTAAGAAAATAATGTCAGTTTCAGAGATCGATGTTTTAAATAAATAAGGCTAGCATTTACAGTATTGCTGGAGTTTTAAACTACATGTTCAAGATCCCACTGTTGGTTACATGGATAACAATGTAAGTCATCACATCTAAACTCTGAAACGTGGTAGGCAATTCCTCTACTACCTGAGAGATCTGAAAGCCACCAATAAAAAAAATCCATACAGCAGATTAAGGTAAAATTTCAATATATCTTAAACTGCTTAAACATGTAAGTTCAACACTCCCCTTCCCCCTAAAAAAAAACCTCTTTTAGCATAAAAAGCTGCAGTTTCCAATTCTACTCAATTAATTAGCTTCCTGTAGTCAATCAAATGAAAATTCTGAAATAGCCTGTAGATGTCATAAACCTAAAGTCAAATTCAAAGACGAATGACATTCTCCCATACACTTCCTTCTTTTCTGGAAACTGCAAACTCATTAGTAGGTACATCTAAGAAGTATACCTGCCCAGAAGTCCCTGTAGTTTTGTGATAACATATGTAAAATAAGTTCAGCTCAAGGTATGGCATGGTAGTTTCATCCTACAGACCCACCGGTTTATCCTGGAGAGATTCTGAAGGACACAGTAAAATACCAGGTGCAAGGAAAGAGTGCCTCCCTGCTTGCTAAAGCTCATTAGAGAAGGGCATCCATCTTTACTTCTTCAGGACAATATCCATGAACTGTAAAAATAGAATTTTACTTAGTAAAGGAAAGGGAGAATAAATGCAAGAATTTTTTAGGATCTGGCATATTGAATCATGAATCAAAGAAGAAGAAACTATAATTGACTCTCATTCTATCGAACAGAGAAATTTCTTCCACACAATCTTTTGTGTGGTAAGAATAAAGCTTCATTCCAAAGAAAATCCAGTTAAAATATCCCAAAAGAAAAAAAAATACAAGATCTTGCAGCTCTTTAATGCTTGCTACTGGCCAAATCTTGCAATTAGAATCAGTCACTTTAAGTGCTGAAGTCGTATAATGCTAATAGATCACTTTATAATGTGAACAGTTTTTTAAAGTTGTATTTAATTTTCCATCATTACAGTACTGAATACCAGTAGTGTCTGTCCATTCTGATATAGGTTCTGAAGTCTCCAAAGGGTACAGACTACTGCTTGCCTAGGCATTGGTTAATTCTGGCTTTAATTCTCAGAGACCTGAATTAGAGCTGTAAAATGGACTGTATTTCAACTTTCTCCCTAAATGTGTTTATTTTTATTTTCAAACCAAATGAGGGCTCCTTTTTATTTCATAATTATTTTATTTGAAAAAATATAAATTGAGGTGAGGTGTATATGTCTGAATGTGTGTGTGTGCACATGCACACATGTGTGTGGTTTTCTTTAAGAAAATGAAATGAACCAGAAAATAAGCCCTTAGCAGTAACCTAAGAAATAAAACAAAATCATTTACAACACATGGGATTGTTGCAGGATATGTCAAGATTAGATGGTTTTAAGGGAGCTATCCTGAATGTGGAAGCAATTATAATGAAATTCATGACTCATTAGCAAACATTCCATATTGTGTTTCTCATTTCTGGGTCAATGTTACTAGGAAATATAGACTTAAGATTTAGATGTTTCACTGACTTCAATGCCAGATTATAGATAGTTGGACTGTACAATG